TCGCCATCGCTGCTCTAGGCCCATCAATGTTGGAAGTCCATAATGAAGTATTGATTGATATGAAGGTACCAAATTCGGGGATGGAAGCAAATATTACTCTGATTCCGAAAGCCTTAGATTTCACGCAGATAAAAAACTATAGGCCCAATAGATATCTTTACTGAATGCTGACTATATCTTTACTGAATGATGACTATAAAATATATGCTTCAATCATGGCAAAGAGGTTTAAAAGGTTTCTAAATAAACCTAAGAGATAGAATAAAAGCAATATTTTATTTTTTTTAAGACAAATTTTATTGCAATTTCCCCCCCATGATACATACTTTATGGACAGAGTGTGAACCAGGTCAGCTTATGAATCATATTTATAATCATAGTTTCAATATATTCCAAGCTTCCCACTTTTATCAATATTCATCTCTTTTATATAATCCTTTATCATTAATTCATTTAACCTTACATATCATTACTAAGCACCCTTTTCTTTTTGTCTTCAACTAATAACTATTAATTCATCTTTACAAATTAATCATTTTTAACCATACTTTGCTATTCTAACTTCCCAAGTATTATTCTCTTTACATAATTCTTTATCATTTCTTATTCAATTTTTACACATAATTAACATCACTGTACACCCTGTATTTCACCTTTTTTTACAGTTTTTCCAGTTATTTACCCTATTTTTTCTTCTCAGAAAATATCTCAAATTCCCCTTCCCCAATCATTAACATTTTAAATTCCCAACATTCTTTAAATTACATTCAAAATTAATAGTATTTATTTAATTATCTACTTTCACATTCCCATCTACTGATCTAACTCTATGTATGTATGTATGTATGTATGTATGTATGTATGTATATATATGTATATATATATGTATGTATGTACGTACGTACGTACTAATATTTACCCTATAATTATATCTCTCTTCTATTAACCTTTCCCTCCTTATCCATCATCTCTTGCTCTTTTAAGGACTCCATTTTCAGATTCTTCTTCTATTTTTTTTGTGTGATTAAACAAACTTTCTGTTTCTTTATTACCTATCAAAGATTCATGTACTTCTTTTAACATCAAAAATATTTCTTCACATATCTTAAACTCCATTTTATAACAATTTAAAAATCTCTTAAACCCTTCCCAATTATCTTTCTTCACATTTAATCCAAATTTAAAGTTTATTTAATTTCCTTGTTTTTCTTCTTTTCTTCGATTATTCCTCTTCTTTTCAAAAGTAGGGTGCTCTAATTTATATAATCAATTGTAATCCAATTCCATAAATGGACAAATCCAGTTATCAGTTAGCTTTCATCAAAGAGAGCAAAATAAAAAGGAAAAACACAAGCACTCCTTAAATTTCTCACAATGTCCAATTTATCTTCTTCTCTATAGCCAAGGTCAGATCTTCCAACTGCTACTTCTCTTATTTTGCTTATTGTAGTCGCTCACCAAGCCTGTTGAGCTTTGTAGTGGTTTTTTTCCTCCAGTAAATGGGACTCTGAATTTCTATTCCATGTAAGGCAGTCTAACAGATACAACTGATTTTCAAAATATCCCGGAACTTTAAAATACAGATAAAAAATGCCATTTTCTCCCAAATTTTTTTTTAAAAAAATGCTTTGGCTTTCCCCAGCTTCCCAAATACATGAATTCTACTTGGACTTTTTATTTTATAATCTCGGGGTTTTTTCTCTCTCCCAAGTGCCTGGTAGCCGCTATTCTAAACTCCGGAATAACTTTTAAAACACCGATTTCTGATTTCCAAAAAATTTCTTTAAGTGAGAATTGGCAGTTATCTCACCCAGGTCCAGTACTCCATCCAAACACTGTTCCAGCTGAATTCTTCAGTTTGGTTGTTCCAACTTTCAGACGGCCATCGGAAAATATCCACCGCCACTGCTGCAGATCGGAAGAGCTACTTCTGTCTTGGTGAGGAAATTGCCAACTCCTCGCCGTCCAAGAAATGCCTCTCCTTTCTTCACCGTCCCTTCAAGATGGCTATGCCCCGAAGGCCTCTCAGCAGCAGGTACCAACTGAATTTCATGGGGCTCATCAGAGTTCCGCTAATTTCCAGTCCATTTTCACTGCGATGTCAACCAGAAATCAGTTTAAAAACAATATGAGAATGATTTTAAATATGTTGGAATATTATGAACCACATCCTGGGGAAAAAATGACTGATTTTCTGAGATGTACAGAAAGCATATGACAATGCGAATTGGCAATTTATGCTGTCACAACTGAAATTTATGTACTTTGGTGAAAGATTTATTAACATGATAAAGGCAATATACAATAAACAAACTGAAAAGGTGATGATAAATGGAGATATGACAGAGAATTTTGGGAGACCCAAAATAGAGTGCAGGGGAAACCTAGTAAGCCTCCCTGCAGCCCCCTGGAAGCAAAAACGGGCTGCAAGGGGGGAAGGGTTCAAGGGAGAAAGAAAGAAATCCTTACTGTTTCGGGATCCCCAAGTGCATGGAGCAGATGTCTTCAAACTTGGCAACTTTAAGACTTGTGGACTTAGCTCTGCTAGCTAGAGAATTCTGGAAGTTGAAGTCCACCAGTCTTAAGGTTGCCATGTTTGAAGACCTCTGGAATGGAGCTTGAGTTGAGAGCTTATTGAAAGTGTGGCTAGCTATCCTTGCTCAGGCTAAGCTAATCAATAGTGGGGCTCTAAGAATGCCAGATTATCAATGGGCATGTCCCTGGCTTTTCTTCCTCCTACCAAAGACCTTCTGGGGTTCTTCACAGGAAGGAGGAGGGAGGGAGAGAGGGGAAAAATAAAAAAGGGAGGGAAGGGAGAAATAAAGAAAGAGGGGGGGAAGGGAGAGAGAGAGAGAGGGAAGGAAGGAAGGAAGGAAGGAAGGAAGGAAGGAAGGAAGGAAGGAAGG